GGTCACATTTGCTATCACATTTTATTTGAAGAAGTTTGGTAGACGAAAAAGGTGGCCAAGTTGCATTTACTGATATTTGGTCACGTCTGCTATCCGTTTTCTTTGAAGAAGTTTGGTAGAAAAAAAGATGGTAGAGATGTTTACTGATATTTGGTCACGTCTGCTATGGTATTCAAAGAAGTTTGGTAGAAAAAAAGGTGGCTAAGATATTTAAAGGTATTTTGTCACATCTGCTTTTACAGATGGTATCAGCTTATTACCATTGTACAAGTAGGGGTTTTATCTTTGCTCGGTCAGGGTCATTCTCAAATATGACGAACGACAAACATCTGTCACTTTGTTATAGAATTGTTACTGATCTCTGCACCCTGGTTTCCTAAACTATGAACTGGTCACTATGAAATTTGATAAAAGTTGGTGGTTTAATTAACTCCTCAAACGTCCTTTAAGAATAAAGAAGCACAGATTTAAGTTCAATATGGCAAGACTGATCTATGCGGGAGAAAAATTTAGGGAAATTTTTCCACATGAAAAAATCGGACTGTAAATTTTTAATCAGGTTTATTTAAATTCCTAAAATATTGATGTGTAATGGTGTTACCAAGCTTAATTTGTTTCATCGTGTAATGAACTTTTTATAGACAGAGCGTGATCAAGTGTTCAAATGTTTGTTTTTAATTGTTGAAATACAATAAGATGATATTTATATTTGAAAATTGTTTCTCCGCCAAATGAAAATATTTAATTCCTAACGGGGCAATGAACTGAATGCAGTATTTTTTTTTATATAGAATTGAAAGACTGTGTCGTTTGATCTATTGATTGTATTTGTGTGTTTCATTATAGCTGAGTAGTCTCTACGGTTTTCTACAAAGCACTGCTTCTGGCAAACAGTGACAATTTTAATATTTGCAAAACCACATTTATAAAAATCACAAATCCATACGGAACGGTTCAAAATACCTGTCATTTGAACCGTACCTCTAGTGTCACAATACAAAGCTGTGAAGGCAGTGATGCTATCATCTTTTAAATATATTGTGGTCATATGGGGTTTAGACTCATTGACTTTTAAATGAGGCCCTAGAGGGTCTTTTTGATTATGGTAAATTGTGAGCCAGGATTGAAATATTATTTTTAGATGCAAAGTTTATGATGAAATTGAATAAAGGGGAATTTTCTATATATTATATAGATATAAGAAGATGTAGTATGAGTGCCAATGAGACAACTCTCCATCCAAGTCAAAATTTATAAAAGTAAACCATTATAGGTCACAGTACTGTCTTCAACACGGAGCCTTGGCTCACACCGAACAGTAAGCTATAAAGGGCCCCAAAAATTACTAGTGTAAAACCGTTCAAAACCAACAGTCTAATCTATATAAAAAATGAGAAACGAGAAACACTTATCAACAAACGATAACTACTGAATATCAGATTCCTGACTTTTTGCATTGATGTGGGGCTTTATATGGATTTCAGATCTTTATGTATAAAGTAGAATACTGTGAATTCATTCGTGGGTACCAATGTTCGTGGATTGAGGAAAACTTGAATATTCGTGGATGAGGAAAAAATTGAATATTCGTGGATTGAGGAAAACCTGAATATACGTGGATATTTGATTTCATGGTTTTGCCAATCTCTGCATACAAAGCCTACAGAAAGTTTTAATTCGTTGAACATTTGAATTCGTGGTTCACCTGTACCCATGAAACCCACGAAAATTGGTATCCGAATAATAATGAATCCAAAATATGTTCGTTCTAAAGCACCTGAATCATTGTTGAATGTCAGTATTGTAAATTCAGATATTTGTGCAATGTTTTAATTATTTATAATTGCTAAAAATTGTGATGGCCCATATATGTTTGGCAAGAAAAAAAAATGAATTTGAAAGTTTGAAAGCATTATTTGTATGGAGCCTTCAATTATTCAAGGGACATCGGTGGCCGAGCGGTCTAAGTAGTTACTACTGTAATCACTAGCCAGTCAACACTGAGGTTGTGAGTTTGAACCCCGCTCGTGCGGGTGCACTCAACTGCAATCTTAATTGACTAGGATTGTCAGTTTTCCTATCGAAGGTCGGTGGATTTCTCCGGGCACTCTGGCTTCCTCCACCAATAAAAACTGGCCACCACGAAATAGCCCAAAAGCGGTGCTTAAAAGTGGTGTTAAAAACACAAAAAATCAAATCAAATCAATTATTCAATTATCACAATAATTAAGGTGCTGAGAAAAGAATTTTCTGCATGATTTTGGATAGTTCACAGATCCAGAATTAGAAATGTCAAACCAAATAAGCAATTTTGCATTGAACCAAATGATTACACTTATGATTATTTGCACAGTACAAAGGGATTGAGTGACAGGAGGCTTTGCTCATAGTATAATTTTAAGTATGAATTTAGTCCCCTTAGAAGAATTCAAAAGGTGCAGACAAAAATGCCCCATTTCTACCTTAATTAGGACTTAGAAATTACCCAATCTTTTTTAAGTTAAATCTCTGCACTTGTTCATTTTTTTTATGCTTGGTCACTACCACATAGCACCAGGGAGTGCAGAGATCTAATTTTTATTAGATTAGAAATTACCCCATTTAGACCCTCAGTATAATTTATGAATGAATTGGGTTGCCTTATAAGACCTCAAAAGGTGCAGACAAAAACTACCCTATATCTACCATAGGACTTTAAAATTACCCTTTTTTAGACCCTCATCATAATTTATGAATGAATTTAGTCATCTTATAAGACCTCAAAAGTTGCAGACAAAAACTGCCTTCTTTCCAGCATAGCACTTAAAAATTACCACTTTTAGACCCTCGTCATAATTTATGAATGAATTAAGTGGCCTTATAAGACCTCAAAGGGTGCATTAGTGGGTTTGTTAACTTTTATGGTTGAAGATTTGAAATTGATCATTAATTCTATTTCATGTGTGAATTGGGACTTTGAAGTACATTCTATTCATGTACTGTCTAGAGAGATACAGAATGGCATTGAAGTCTTCACAAAAGGAGAAAATAAAAGTCCTTTAGTGTTATAATTTAGCCATAAATCTCAGTGTGTTAAATTCTTTGATCACTCAGATTAAACATGAAGGTATCGAAGAGACTAAAATTGAAAAATATTTTATGGAAGATTTTGGATAAGTCGTAATAAGGAAGATAGTAAAATTAAATACGAAATTCTGTGGTTTTATAATTTATGTAAAAACTTAAGATGAAGAGCAAACAAGTTTTTGAAGTCTATTTATGATTGAATACCCATTTGATAAATGTTAGGAGTGTTTAAGATAGCATGAAGGGGCTTTTAGCAGAAATTTACCATTACATGCAAATGATAGTATTCAATTTATTCATTGGGCGGAAATGATATTTTTCAGTATTTCATTTATCATTGATGAGATCTTTTGGGTGGCAAGAGTTAAAAATCTTAAAAAAATTCCTCACAAATAATAATGTGTTTATAATTAAGTGCATAAAACATGCAGAACGTTTTAAACTATTTGTTTGTGTGCATTCATTTGTTTATTCTTTTTATCGTTGATGTCAGATCTTTGTTTATTTGTTCACAAGGGGCCTCAAGTATAACCAGGCGATTTTAAGTTATTCATCTACAGGGATCACTATTATCCTGTCAACTCTTGAGGTGGGGAGTTGGAAACCTGCATGTGATAAGGTGTGATCGATCTACTCAATTCTTAATTGACAAGGATTGGCCAGTTTACTTGTTGAAGGTCATGGTTCTCTGTGGGTATATTCTCCAAGGGCCCTCTACCAATAGATTGTCTGCCACTATAGCCAAGGTTGGCAGAGTTCTTGAAATCTTTTTTTCCCTGGTGGTCCTTGAAGAAAATCTGCTGGTCCTCACTATATTTCTACACTGAGCAAAATACCAAAAATATGTCAGTTCTTTTCAAAATTTTGGTGGTCAAAACCTTCAGACCACCACTTTTCGAGAACTCTGGGTTGGAAGAAAATTTTTTATGAATCTCATTTACAGAGATTACTGAATTCACCATAGTAAGTTATTAGTATAGTTTCATAAATAGATCTTTTCCATCTGATATTTCTCATGGAAAATAAAAAAAACATATAATTCAGACAAAATTAGAAGATGGAATAAGATCCTTGTTGAGCACTTAAATCTAGGATTTCTTAATGAATTGTAATTTTCCTCAGGTTAGTTAGTGTAAGGTCAGATATCATATATTTTATGAACAAACTTCAAAGGACATAAAAACTTGTTCACTAATTATAGGTCATCGTTGGTTATCTCAACGAGATTGATTTTCTCGCTTGAGCCGGTACAGCGAAAGCGAGAAAAGCAATCGAGTTGAGATGACCAATGATAATCTGTTTATCGCTATTTTACCTATGAAGACGTTGTTAATTTCATTGACAACGGCACGTGTTCCCTTAGTTTCTAGTGATAATTTTCATATCACTCGACGTCTGTTAGCTCAGACATCATATTTTTTAGGAGGAAATTTGTATATAATAACTGATCACTTGCTATGCCTCCAAGTCTAAAATAGATCAAAGATCAATTGATTTATACTGAGTACAGTTTGTACAACAGACAATTGAGAGAAGTTATACTGTAAGATATGTCTGAAATTTCGTTCGCTATGAAAAATCTTGTTATTTAATTTCGGGGTTAAGGATTTTTAATCTCTATCTGGTTCAGCATGTCAATCTATGGTTTGTGACTTTTAATCTCTTGTTTAGGGTCTTGATATTTTTAAGGGATGAAGAAAGATGGGTTCATAACATAATATCGAAAGGTCAGCAAAAAGGACCATTTTACACTGAATGGTATGGGGGAATGCTAATGTATATTCCTCAATCTAACCAATTTTTATTGCTAAAGAGTTTTCTTATGTTTATTTTGCTTGCTGTACAAAATGAACTAAACTGTTGATGCTTTAAAGCCCAAATTAATGTTCATTTTCAAAATAATGTTCAAATGTGTTATATTTTAAATCTTTCAGTTACTGCCCAGAACACAAATGGAAAAGGTCAAAGTTCAAACCAGGGAAGAAGTCTATCTTCAAAGAGGCTCAGAAAAAAGAAAAAGAAGGCACGGACCAACAACAGGCAAGTGATCAGGCTGGGCAACAGGTAGACGAAGGTGCAGATGAAGTTGTCAATGAACCTGATGATGAACCTGATGAAGGGGATGACGAAGAGGAAGAGGATCAAATTGAGGATGATGATGATGACGATGAAGATGATTTGGAAGACGATCTAGAAGAAGCAGAAGACAATGATCAAGAACTTAATGAAGATAATGAAGCAGCCGATGCCCCTGACCAAGGGGAGACAACTCAAGTGTCTACAGTGACGTCGCAAAGTACTCTTGAAAAAGATTACTCTCAGAACAGTATCGAATCAAGTAAAAAAACTCCTTCTGGTAAAAGTCTTCAAGGAGTTGATGAGAGTAAAAGACAAGGTTTAGATCTGCAACAGAGTGAGACAAGTTTGCTGAATGAATTTCAGGATGAAAAGAAAAATGACGAAAAGAAAGATTTTACTATTGAACAGAAAAATAGTGATGAAAAGAAAGATTTCAGTAATGAACTGAAAAATGGTGACTCTATGAAAGCTGGCTGTGATAAGAAGGATTCCCCTCATATAGAAAAAAATAGTAATGGAAAGAAAGATTTCAGTAATGAACTGAAAAATGGAGACTCTATGAAAGCTGGCTGTGATAAAAAGGAATCCCCTCATATAGAAAAAAATAATAATAGAAATACTAGTGACAGTTTAGAATTAGCAAGTCGATTAAGCGACTCTTGTATAGGATCTGCCTGGAATGCATCTAAAGGTGGGAAATGAAGTTGTGATTATTGTTACTTGTAATTTTTGTAACAGAAATGAAATGAAATCTTGCCATTATTCATCCATTAGTATTCATGGTCAATTTTATGAGCTGGTGCTTAATTTTGCATCAGAATTCTAATTTGGAGACTTGAAATAAATTCTTTCAATTTTAAGTTTCAAAATAAATTTTTCAATTTGAAGTTTCAGACTGCAGCATTTAAAAACATTTTAAATTAAAATAGTTATTTGATATTTTAAAGTACTTGAACAGTGTCTGTATACCACTTAATCGAAAAAGAAAACAAATTTGTTTCTTTTGTGGTAGGATTGAAATATTAATTTTAAGCTTGAGTCCAAAATAATTGACAGGTATTCAAATTTCTTTAACGAAAATATTTGTAAATAAGAAAGTTTTTATGATCACTTGATATATACTGAACAGAAAAAAGTTGAGGGTCATCAGTTCATATTTTCAATTGCAGTTGAATTTAATATTGCCATCACCAATTTGTAGTACTTAGAAAAGCTGTTAACTCTCTGAATGTTGTCCAATTCAATGGGGACTGCCTTTGAATCCTTGAAGAATTTAGTGAAATCCTGAAGTGGATTATCAATATGTCTTCATTTTCATGGAAATAAATTGGTAGATTTCAGAAATTCAGTTTTTTTCTACATCGTCCATATTTGATGTGTGATGAAAATTATCCCTCCTCTTAGGCCAAAGAAGAATATCTGATTTGAAGGTTTCCTTATCTTACCTTAAAATGTCTACATTAACATTCAAACTGTCACTTTTTTTTTTAGTAAATTGTGTCAAAATTTTAGGTCTCACTTAATACACTTGAGGTATAAAGAAATGAGAAATATAGAGAATTCTTCTCTACTCAAGTACAGTTTTCATTTCTGGTACAGAACGTTCTGAAATGTCCTGTTGTATTAATGCATGTATTATATGTTACTGTTGGAATAAATGTTGATGACTGCATTCTTCCTTTTATTCTAAACCATTGTTTGCATGATTGACTGGAGAAAAATAAAGCTTTATGTCTGCATGCTTCCTTTTATTCTAAAACATTGTTTGCATGATTGACTGGAATGTTGATGTTTAATTGAAATCAAGTTATCTGGCTGTGAAAAATAGTAATGTAAGAAAAAAAACACAAACAACATAGACTAACATAAGGGTCTGAATGGGGTTTACAGAATAGCAAATAATGGGCTAAAAATGCAGGATGAAGGGCCAATATAAAGGATAGAGAAAAACATGCCAAAAAAATAAAGAATAGAGAATAATGGGGTGCTAAAATATGAAGAATAGAGAATGAAGGGCCAAATTTATAAAGAATATAGAAAAAATGGCTTAAAAAATTAAAGAATAGAGAATTGTATACCCCCCCCCCCCCCATCCCCCCAATCCAGACCCTCATACATGGGCAGCAGTATGATATCACACCACACATGTGTAGAAATATATGCATGTTTCCTTGACAGTGTAAAATAAAAATATTATATAAATTTTGTCATGTGATCAATTTCTGCACGGTTGCCAGGCGAAATGGATCAAATCAATAATAAAAGTAAAAAAAAAATGGCTACCACAACAAATGATATGAATACATGATATATGTATTGTTTTTTTAAATGTTATAGCTGCGCAAATTGTATTCCGCTTTGATCTATACAAAGTTATTCAGCTACTGATGGTGATCTATCATGCAATAAATAAAAAATTTACAAATAATGATGTACCTAGTCGATCAAAGCTAAGTATGAAAGGATTTAGAATAGATGATACATAAAACAATAGGCCACACAAAATAATATGTATAATTATTTCGAGATAGTGTCGATTCATTTATTTTCGTGGGTACCAATTTTCGTGAATAGAGGAAAATTTGTATTTTCCTAGATATCTTAGTTTTTCCGAAGTCTGCTTACAAGCCTATAGAAATTTTGTACTTCGTTGAACATTTAAATTCGTGGATCACCTTTAACCACAAAATCATCGAAAATTGGTATCCAACAAAAACAATGAATCCACAGTAGTGTATTGTGGACTCTGACTGGTACTTTTCTGACCTTTTGAAGGTACTTTTCATTGTATTGTTTGAATGCTGTATTGTGGACTCCGACTGGTACTTTTCTGACTTTTTGAAGGTACTTTTCATTGTATTGTTTGAATGCTGTATTGTTGACGGCATCCAGTACTTTTCTGACTTTTTGAAGGTACTTTTCATTGTATTGTTTGAATGCTGTATTGTGGACTTGGACTGGTACTTTTCTGACTTTTTGAAGGTACTTTTCATTGTATTGTTTGAATGCTGTATTGTGGACTCTGACTTGTACTTTTCTGACTTTTTGAAAGTACTTTTCATTGTATTGTTTGAATGCAGTATTGTGGACTCCGACTGGTACTTTTCTGACTTTTTGAAGGTACTTTTCATTGTATTGTTTGAATGCTGTATTGTTGACGGCATCCAGTACTTTTCTGACTTTTTTAAGGAACTTTTCATTGTATTTGTTTGAATGCTGTATTGTGGACTTGGACTGGTACTTTTCTGACTTTTTGAAGGTTCTTTTCATTGTATTGTTTGAATGTCTTATGTCGATGAAAATGTCTTGATTTAGGCAGTATACTGATCAGTCACTTGTTTAAGGGTTAAAGTACAGGAGTTGGTCTCACAAAAGATTGGTCGTAAGTTATCAATCTTAGTTATAAGTGTTTTTGTGAAACGACTCCTAGATATTACCTTTGAAGGGTAACGAATATGCATCAAATTTTGATGTGCGTTGTCGATCAAAGTATGAAACAATTTAGAATAGATGATACATAAAACAATAGGCCACGCAAAATAACCGTAAGTTTTTAGGGATGTCTTGGTACACCGATACTGTCTTGAATATCAGAGTTGTGGTTATCTTAATGTACATGTGGTTATAGGGAAATGAAATGGACTCCAAATAAACAAACAAACAGAAAACTGTTGCTAAAGGCTGAAGACTGAAGGCTAGGGGTAACTGGCTTTGGTTTGTCTACATTTATGGTGGTGTTTCTTTGCTGTCAAAGTCACACGTACTCGATAATAGAAACACAAACAAAAGATATGGGGTATCCATCAAAATCAGAACATGCACATAAAAAACAAACAAAAAGCAATGGAACAGCACTTTTATTGCTGTTCTTCATCTCAAAGTTACAGCATGGCTTTCAACAAGGAGCAAAAAAACTCTCACCTCACTGCAAGTTTAAGACGGCCCCTAGCACAGGCATGAGCGAAATTCTTTGCAAAAATTCGAATAGAACATATTTGAACAGTATGTAAAAAATAAATACATTTTACGTCACGTTCTTTTGTGGATGATTTAACAGTGCTTTCAATAATATCAATATTCCCAGCAAGTGAACGAAATGATGGGAAAAAAAATTCCAGGGGGAAGACAAAATTTTCCATCCTTTTTTCCCAATTATCATGTAAAACCTTCATATTAGAATTATTGCTAATTTGTTGTGGTCATGCATGAAATATTTGCCACTGGTCAGAACTTAGTCAAACAACTATATACAAAAGACAGTTATTTCAAAATTGTATAAGTTAATACGTTAAATCAGCGGATTTTCTCCCATGGTAGTCAATGGAGAGTAACAGGGTAAAACGTTTAAACCCGCTGCATTTGTTTGCACCTGTCCTAAGTCACTCAACCTGTTGTTCAGTGGTTGTCGTTTGTTGATGTGGTTCATAAGTGTTTCTTGTTTCTCATTTTTATATAGATTAGACTGTTGGTTTTCCTGTTTGTAGATATAAGAAGATGTGGTATGAGTGCCAATGAGATAACTCTCCATCCAAGTTACAATTTATAAAAGTAAACCATTATAGGTCAAGGTACGGCCTTCAACACAGAGCATTGGCTCACACCGAACAGCAAGCTATAAAGGGCCCCAAAAATTACTAGTGTAAAACCATTCAAACGGGAAAACCAATGGTCTAATCTATATTAAAAACGAGAAACAAGAAACACTTATGAACCACATCAACATACGACAACCACTGAACAACAGGTTCCTGATTGACTGTTTTACACTAGTCATTTTGGGGTCTTTTATAACTTGTTGTTCGGTGTGAACAATGTCTCTGTGTTGAAGTCCGTACTTTGACCTATAATTGTTTACTTTTTACACATTGTGACTTGGATGGAGAGTTGTCTCATTGGCACTGACGTACCACATTTTCTTATTTCTATATATTTATAAAACGAAAGAAACTTGGGACTTTTGAAGACTTTTGTAACAAGGAAGATTTGATGAATAAATAAGATTAAGTTGTTAAAAAAAGAAAGAATTCTTTCAGAAAATAAGAGATAAATATGCCTTTAAAAAATAGAAAATACAAAATGGAATTTTCTAAATTCGTATCTGTGAGTAGTATCCATACAGCTGTCATGACACGGATAAGTTTTCCATTGAATAATCTCATTTGTACATAATTAATGTACTTATTGAAACATGTTGTTACGCCATCAAATTGAACCATATTGCTTCAGCTCGTAATTTCCCATTGGGCGTGAAAGGTGTTGTTACATGATAAATAATGTAACAGTTTTGAATCATGTTACGTAAAATTACTCACTGTTACATCGTTGTCATAAGATATTTATGTTTTTCCAAGGATGAACAAATTGTTATGTATTTTTTTTGGTATCATATTTTCATTTTGAATTGAATTGAGTGATTGATTTTTGTCTGCTTAACATTGGCCGGAATATTTCATGGCTAGATTAGGGGGGATGTGAATAAGAGCTTGACCAATATCATCTATAGTACAAAGTAAGGAGATGTGGTATGATGGCCAATGGGAAAACTATCCACCATTGAATAAATGACATTGATGTAGTTAGCAACTATAGGTCACCATACAGCCTTCAATAATGAGCAAAACCTATAAAGTATAAGTCAGCTATAAAAGATCCTGATATGACAAAATTGAGAAACAATTCAAATGAGAAATCTATATATAAAGGCCTAATTCATGAAAAAAAAGTAATGAAAAGATAATATGTATGACAGACAGCAACCAATGACAACCACTGCATTTCTTGCTCCTGACTTTGGACAGGCACATGCATACTGAAGGTGGAGGGTTTAACATGTCCAGATAAGGGCTATATAGAGCTTGACCAATAGATATAGGAAGATGTGGTATGAGTGCCAATGAGACAACAACTCTCCATTCAAGTTACAATTTATAAAAGTTAATGTTTATATAAACATGTGATTACTCTAAGAGAGTATATATACAGTGGCCTCCTTAGTATCCCATGGATACTAATTTTCTTGGATTTCATGGATAAAGGTATGGTGAACCATGAATTCAAATGTTTAACAAATTTTCTATAAGGCTCAGTGTATGCATACTTAAGCAAAACCATTTAAAATCAAATAGTTTCACGAAAATACAATTTTTTCTCAATCCACGAAAATTGGTCCAACAAAAATAAATGAATCCACAGTATTTACTCTTCAGATGTCTTTCCTGTTTATTTTGTGTTTTGGGGTTGCTGATATATTGATTTATTATACCACACATCTTAAATGTATACACATTATTAGGCAACTGATGTCTTCAGGACAGATGCATATCCAGTGGCAAATATTACATGGATATCCTATGTCATAGATGACAACATATATGATCCACTTGGTCATACCCACAATCCCTTTCTACTTTCCAAAATTGCAATAACTATGCCCCAGATGCCACTTGATGCCATCACTCCAGGGGACACTTGTGGCCACTTGTGTACTCTTAAAAAAAGCTGATATGTGTTTAAAGGAGCTTTTCATAAGATTGAAATATAATTAATCTGTTGAAAAAAGTAGGATTAACTCTTATTGTGGATTCATTTATTTTCACGTATACCGATTTGTGTGGATTGAGGAAAAATTACACATTTGTTGATATTTTTTTGGGTGGTTTTGCTAAAGGCTGT